GCGCCACGCACATTCGTTCATAACAGTTGCAAGAGTGTCGCGGATTCCCACCATCAATGTACCAGAAAGGATGTGGAGGGGTTCAGGATTTTGCGCATGCACATGCAACAGTTACGTTGATTCGCGGTGTTGAAATCTCAAGAATGGCGTTCTGGCACGATCCAGGATCGTCAAGACGCAACAATCAGGTTGATCCGTGGCGTTGTTTTAGCCTGCTTCCGGGTCTTCAAACGGTTGTCTTCGAACGAGGCAGGTCCCTCAATGGAAATGAACCGTTGTCGGGGCCTATGAAGAGGTAGCTTGGAGGGAGGGGGTATTCCAACATCGTTAATGACTCTTGGGTTTGCACTGGTCCCTCCTCCTCCTCCTCGTCCTCCTCCGCCTCCCTCCCCTCTCCTGCCTCCTCCCTGCTCCCTCCTCCCTCCTTCGTCCTCCCTGCTCCCTCCTCCCTCCTCCTTCTCTCCTCCTCCTCCTCCTCCTCCTCCTCCTCCTCCTCATCCTCCTCCTCCTCCTCCTCCTCTTCCTGTTCCTTTTTCTCCTCCCTCCTTCCACCCTCCTCCCTCCTTCTCCCTCCTCCTCCCTCCTCCTCATCATCCCTCCTCCCCCCCTGTCCTCCCTCCTCCTCAACCCTCCCTCCTTCCCTCCCTCCCTCTCTTCCGGGGGGGGACGCACGCTTGTTACCTCCGAGCGCAAAGCATCAACGATCGCCTTTACCAACCCAGACGCTCTCGGATCACGAATCAAAGCGCAGCCAAAAGCTTCTTGTCATTTTCTGTCTGTCTCTGGGGGCCCTCAATGGGCCTCGGGACCTTCAACAAACGACTCAGGATGAAAAGCGGGTGCCCGGGAATGGGTCGAGACCTCTGGGGGTCGACTTTAAACAAAAAATGACGTCGGTTCCCCGAGCCAGGGTCTCAGATAGGGTCCACCGATACCTAGACAGAGACGATACACGTGGAGATTTGGCGCTGGTGGATACAGTCGGGCCTAGGCTATAATGGCATCTTTCAAAAACATGAGACCCTCCGCCAGCCAAAACACACAGAACATCCTAGGCCCCCCCCCCAGGATGCACAACAATCCCAATCAAACACGGAGAACAGATGCCTCGGTCCGACTGTACCTGGACAGTAACAATGCACTTGGAGACTCGGTGCTAATGGATGTTCCGTTTCGCCCGAGCTGCCCTGGACGTTCAGGAAGCAGGCGCTCCCCGACTGCAGCTCGTCGAGGAAGTCGCCGAACACCTTCTGTTGTTCCCCCCGGCCCTCCAGTTGCTGAGCCCTCGCTCCGAACAAGGGTAGAAGTTACCCCTCTCCTCCTACCCTCATTCCAGCCCTCTCCTGCAATCCCATCTCGACTCCTCCCTCCTCTTTCCCCTCTCCCCCTTTCTACTTCCAGCTTCCTTGCCCAGCTCCCCTCTCTGCCCTCGCTGCCTGCAATCCGCCCACCGCTCCACATGCGCCTACCTTTCCGACAGAGCACGACCGCGAGAGGGTGGAAGGGGGACCCCCCCACGAGGCGCGCCCCCTGAGCCATGTCCGCGAGCGCGCTCGCTTTCTTACGCAGCCTTCCCACCCTTCCCACACCCCGCCCGTCCGACCCCCCTCCTTGCCCCCCGCACCGAGGGGAAAGGGGGACCGCGGGCGCCCACCTGCCCCCCCCTCCCGCCAGGAGACACCCGCGCCCGCGACCCCTGGCGCCCCACCCCCGAAGCCACCGAGCACAGGATGGTTTCGGGCCCAGCCGCGCCCGCGCAAGCGGGGCGCGCAGCAGCCCATAACCAGCCGCCGCGCGCGGCGGCCCCGGCAAGGCACCAGGGTGTTGGCTTTGGGTCTGTCCCAGCGAAAGGGGGGGGGGGTCGACGATGACGGACCCCCCCCCCCGGGGGCACGCGTCGCGCGCTTGGCCCAAAATGGCCACGCCGAGGGTCAAGTTCCCCCTCCCACCTCCGCGCTCGACTCTGTCAGCTCCGCAAGCCCGTGCCCGACCCAACCCAAAGCCGGGACAGGCGAAACTCTCGCTATCCCGCGCGACTGCGCTATAACACAGGAGAGCTTTCAAGCCCCCAGGGGGCCCCGCAGAGCCGCGTCCTGACCGGACCCAATGAGACGTTGCGTGCGGCAGTTTCGCGTCGTGCCGATGCTGGCGTTGGTTTCTGACACAACGGGGATCGGTCGAACTTGAACGATCGGCCTTTTGCAGAAACGCGGGATCGTCCAACGATGGGCCTATTCCGTTGGCTACGGGTGGCGTACACGCTGGTCGACACGGCGCGAACCTACCGTACCTGGGTACGTAACCTAACTTTTTTCGTCGGCGGCAAGGCAGAGACAATCCGCACCTGCGCGGGGATAATCCGGTCAACCGATCAGCAAATTGCCCGGTTCGCAGGTGAGAAGCACGAGGGCGGCCGATCGAGGGGTGGAGAGGGAGGGCGCTCAGACGTGGAAGAGTTCCGGGGTGGGCGGGCCGGAGCAGCCAGCCACGGCAACGGGACTCGCGGCAGCAGCTAAGGCCGGCTACGCAACTTAACACCCAAGCGCGGAACAATCGCCAAGCCAGCCTGACGGGCCCCAGGGGGGGGGGCCGGCGGAGCTGCGTCCTGCGCACCAGCCAAGTGGAGAGGCCTCGTCTCTCCAGGTGCCCCCGCGTGTGGCGCTGTGGTGAACTTCTGAATCGCTAGGGGCGCCCAGCGGAGCCGTGCGACCCCAAGATGGGACGTTGCCAGCATGAGCACTCTTCGAATCGGCGTGCGCCAAAGTGCAAGAGGCGGTCAGGCGCAGGTCGGGCTGGAGGCGGGGCGCACCGAAGCAGATTGGGGCACGGACGGAGGGACGGAGCCGAACGAAGCGAGATGGAGAGTCCATCGCGGGCTGCCGCCGACAGCGTGCGAGCTGCGCACGAGCAGCGGAAGCCGGGACCAGCGTGAAATGGAAGGCCTCGATGAGTACCGATGCCGCTACTCCCCGCATATCTCCCGGGGTGCGTTCTGACCATAATCTGGAGGCGACTGCAAGCGGCGGCGACGACGGCGTCCCAGGAGGCCCCGAAAAGTAGCAAACGAGGAACGGGTAGCGGTGTGCAGAAATACCTTTCCTCCTCTGAATACAGGGCGCAAGACCTCTATAGGCACACACGAGGGCGGAACTGCCGCTATCTTCTGAGCCTCTGGGTAGAGGCCTCCCAGATGGGGTCGGGGAATACAGGGTCGGACGATCGCGCCGCATCGCCGATGCATCGGCGATGCGGCTCGATGTTGAGCCCGACTTTCTCCACGCCAACTTCGCCGATGTATCGTAGATCTATGTGGCCCGATCAATGGGGTGTGAGCGATCTAGTGCAATCTATGTGGTGCAATCCATGTGGCGCGATCTATGAGGTGCATGCTACGCAGTGCAGTCTTAGACTGCATATGTTGCACCACTTAGACAAAGTGGTGAAGGCTTTACAGCGGGATGCATGCAGTAATGCAATGCAGCGCAAATCCACGCAGAACAACGCAATGCCAATGACAACGCAATGCGACTGCAATGCGATTGCAGTGCTATGCGACTGCACGGCGACTGCAGTGGAAGTCGATTGCAGCGCAGTAGAATGCGATTGCAGTGCAATGCGATGCAGTGCAGTGCAGTGGAATGCGATTGCAGTGCAGTGCGGCGACTGCAGTGCGATTGCAGTGCAAGGCGGCGACGAGGCGGCAGGCGGGCGGCGACGGGGCGGCGGCAACGGGCGGCGACGGGGCGGCGGCGGGGTGACCATTTAAGCCGGCCGCGGCGGCACACGAGCCAACGACGAGGCGGCGAGGGGCGGTGACGAACGGCGGCAGGGCGGCGATGGGGCAACCACGAGCTGGCCGGGGCGGCACATGAGCCCAGTTCCGTCAAAATCAGGTGAGCACCCCTAAGAACCGCAGGACTGCTTGGGGGAGGATGAGAAGGAGCAGCAGCAACCGCAGCACGGCGAGGAGACGAGGAGAAGTCTACGTCTACAGGCACCTTGAGCCTGCGCTGGTCGGAGTAGCCGAAGGGATCATCCGAGTTCCTCTCGAGGCAACTGGCGTACACCCGCTCGCCTCCCGCTTGACGGCTGAGGTAGCCTGCCAGGAGGACACCCAACGACGTACCTACACCGATCCTCGGCAGGCCCATCCTGGGCTGGCAGTCGGTGTGGCTTGGCCACGGACGCATGTGCGTACGCCAAGCCGTGGGCTCAAAAATGGGTCTGGCCAGGATCGGTGTGAAGGTATGCAAGCGGAGTCCCTGGAAGCCTGCATCGCGCCACTGCTCGAGGCCCCAGCCGAGCTTCGTCCACACGTCCTCGGGCCGTGCGCCACTGGGCAGCTTCACCCGCAACGGCCGCCGCTTGGTTGACATTTTCCGCAGAGCCTTCTCGATCTGCTTCTCCCACGAGTCCTCCCGAGGGTCGGCCGTGAGGGTTGCGACGCGGCTCGAAGACGCCCGCAAGGTGCTGACCTTACGCGGCGTACACTTTCATTCACATTTGCAGACTTGCCGTGCCTGCTCTGACGTGCGCGGATGTGAGGAACTCGAGAAAGTTGATTTAACATTTCCAAACAAGTGTCGTGACCTGGGAAGGGGTGGGTGGGGCCCCCTGTAACGCTTGGGCAAGGTGGGGCACGTCGGGGCAGGGGGCGCGCTGCGATCGCCAGAGCACGCGCGCGAGCACCAGCATGTGGAGGGGTCCCCCCACCACCACGCACGATCGTTACCGTGACCCGGGAAGAGAGGGGGGGGGCGAGTAACGACCGTTACGCGCCAGAGGATGCAACAAAAAGAATGCCCTTGCAACACATCCCTGGCATGACGCCACTGGATCCGCCCCCTGCAACTGCAAACGACTCCGAGAAGAGGCCCCGCGTCGGGCTGCCGCCAGACGCGTTCATGCCGTGGGCGGCTTCTTCGCCCTGGCGCAGTCCCACGGAAGGGATCCGCAAGCTCGTGCTTGCAAATATACCGCCCAGGGCTCGCTGAGGACTGGATTCTCCTAACCTAAACCTTCATGAAACCCTCCTGAAATAATTCGATAAAAAAGCCTCCCCGAACCCTTCGGGGAGGACTTCGGGAAGGCTTCGGCGGAAAACCAGAATTATCAGCGGACCCCGGACTCTCCAAGGTGAGCGTTTTCTTGTTCGGCATTTCGACACTGGGCGGACGGAGGGGGGGAGAAGCAGAGTCTGGTTCCAGACCTCTGTTTGATGCGACTTCTTGAGACAGTGTGAAACAGTGCGTCCTGTGGGGAAGACTCAACCTGCTTGAAACAGGCACCCAAAACAGCCAAGACCTCCTCCATGTGGGGCAAGGACGTGCGAGGGCCCACACCGATCGGCAAAACAATGAATCAGAAAACGATCACAAGGTGAGGAGGCGTTTGAGATGTCGGGGGCGGCAAAGAGGGGGGCGTCCAAGAGGGGGGGGGGAAACCCATGGCTGGGTGCATGTGCGCGGCCCAGGGGGGGGGCAGGGACGTCATGAAATAAAAAGAGGCGCCATGAAATCTAGGGAGATATCATGGCCCCCGCCATGGTCTCCCCCCCCCCCCAGTCATCAGCCCCAACTTTTCCGCCCCCGAGAGGAGGCGTTTGAGATGTTTGGCCGTCGCTGTGGCCCGGTCCTCCTCCCCGGGGCCCAACATCACGTTCACGGCGGGGGGGGCACCAGCTCCTCCACGCACCCTGCGGGCCCTCGGGGCCTCACGCGGCCCAGCAAGGATCGCTTCGAAAGGGATCCATCACGAAGAAGGATCCAAATAAGCTCCAAAGTCTCTCCAACAGGGTCGCTCCAAAGGGCCTCGAGAGGCCTCGAGATGCCAGACCAGGCCCGAAGAAAGCAGACACAGCTCCACTGGAGGGAGCTCAGACACCCAGGAATCCTCCAGGCGGCCCCCAGGTAAACGAAGGTGCCCCAAATCTAGTCCCGAGGCTACCAGCTGGCCTCCAAGACGGCCCCCAACGATTCCCAAACAACTCACACCCCCAAGGCCCCTCGAAGGGAAGCCAAGATGGTCCCAGGAGGCCCCAAGAAAGCCCCAGGGGTCCCCAACAAACATCATACAAGACCCCCCGAAGGTCAAAAGAGAGGCCTACAGATTCGGTCATACACGTGGCCAAGCCAAACCCCCCACACTCACTGATCGGGAGATGTGCGTTGTAACTCCCACTGGGGGGCCACTCGGCTCCCGCTTTGGGGACTCACTAACTGGCGAATCCTGCCGTTGGCAGTGCAATCCGCCGGCCCCCTTGTGGGGCCATCAGGCTGCGAGGCTTAGGTTTCAGTACCCTGCACCAGTTTCAGTTTCCAGTCTCCAATGTTCCAGTCCTGCTTTCTGCTTCCTACTGTAAGCTGTTGAGACCCGCGCGAGGGGAGGCCGAACAGCGTCTGGCGACCATCCCCGATGAGCGTTGTCTGAATTCCTGCAGGGCCGTGGCGCACATACAAATACATGAGATTCGCGCTCCCGACGAAAGAAGCACTCGTAAATTACATTGTCTTCGCGCCCCCGAGGCCGCGATCCCTTGTAAATTGCACCACGTTCGCGTACCCGAAGCCACGACCCTTTGTAAAATACATATTGTTCTCGCCCCCGAGGCCACGATCGTCGCTAATTACACTACATTCGCGCCTCTGGGGCCTCGATCCCTAATAAATTGCAACACATTCGCGCTCCAGACGCCGCGATCCCTCGTAAATTACCCGCGCTCGCGTCACCGAGGCCACGATCCCATGCAAAATGCGGCACATTCGCGTCCCCGAAACAACGATCCCGCGCAAAATAAAACAAAACATTCGCGCCCCCGAGGCCACGATCCCCCGCAATTCCTGCAAATTACGGTTCATTACGGTTCATTCGCGCCTCTGGGGCCACGATCCACCGTAAATTACGCCACAGTTGCGCCCCCGAGGAAACGACCCCACGTAAATTACTCAACGGTCGCGTCCCGGAGTCCAGTAACCCTCGCATAGAATGCAATGCTTGCGCCCCCGAGGTAACAAATCATCGTAAATTGCTAAAAAAATGTTGCGTCCCCGAGGAAATACACCCTCGTACATTACGCAAAATTCGTGTCCTCGAAGCAAGAATCCTTGCAAATTGCTCAATTATTGCGTCCCCGAGGCAACAAACCTTTGTAAATGGTTCAATGATTCAAGGTGGCCATAAACCATTGCAAATTCGGCCGTATTCGTACTGCCGAGGCCAAGAATGCTCCAAGACGGCCCAAGAGGGCCCCAGCGGCCCCAAGAGCGCTCCAAGAAACCTCCCGAGAGAGCCCCAAGAGGCCAACATCGTCGATGTTTCAAAAAGGTTTTCAGGGAGTGTTGATGTTCTCGCAGTTTCGGCTTTCCGACGCTCGAAGATGGCTCAAGAAGCTCCCAAAAAGGTGCCGAAAGCGCGTCGAAGATGCCCCCGAAAGGCTCCCCACGACACCCCAACACATATACAAGAGGCCTCAGACCCACAACCCAGACATGGTGACGGGATTTCCCGAAGGCCACTAGGATAACGCCAACGTCTCAATATGAGCAGATGATTTCTATCCGCCCCCGAATGATGTTCCCAGATGCGCCAAGGCAGCGCCGAGACGCACAGACGCGACTCTGACATAACCCATTATGATAGAAAGGGGGCTGGCGGCAGGGGGCGAAACTCTTACGGATAATGGGATGGTAAGGGTGTCCATTTGAAGGCCACGCTCCCCCGATCCTTCATCTCCATTACACCCACCGGCTAGGGCAGTTCCCCTTCTCCTCCTCCATCTCTTGCTCATCTCTATTCCTCCTTCGCGTCAACATTCTTTCTGCTTCTTGAAGCCCTCAAGCAGGATGCTACACACCACAACCTGCCAGACCAAGAACGCTCCAAGATGCCCAAAGGGTGGACCCGACCACCAGGTAGCCACAAAGGCGTCCCAACATCCTGCCCAACGGAGCGAGAATAGAAGCAGAACCAACTGCAGAAGCATCACTTTCGGAGGTCCGCGCGGACTTCTTGGATCGGCGCTGGGCCCCCCCTCCCTGGCGCGCGGAGCGCGCCAGGGGCGGCGCCTGAGGCGCCGCCAGGGGGGGCCCAACGCCAATCCAAGGAGTCCACGCGAGAAATGATGTTCATGTCACTTCCTTCGGGGATGAGGATGCACGGCGATGCCGACACGAAGAGGGAGCTTCCGTGGCTCAAAGATGGGGCCCTGAGCGGTGGGGTCCTGAGGGTAGGGAGGATTTCAAGGGTGAACGTGCATTCTTTGAGGCACCTCGTCCGCTGGAGGCCTCCCAGCTGGGGTCGGAGTAGATTGGGGGCGGGGGATCGCGCCGCGTCGCCGATGCATCAGCGATGCATCGGCAGTGCAGCGGTCATCAAAGGCTCCCAACTTCGCGCTTCGCGCTCCGCGAAGCGCGAAGCGCGAATAACTTCGCGCTCTCGCGCCGACCCCCCAAAGGGAGAAGAGGAGGACGAGGAGGAGGGGAGAAGGAATGAGGACCGCGAAGCGCGAAGCGCGAATAACTTCGCGTCCTCGTGGGAGCCCTTGGTCATGCACTGGCGACGTCGGCGATGCATCGGCGACGTCGGCGTGGAGACCATTGGGGCCCACATCGAGCTGCATCGCCGATGCATCGCCGATGCATCGGCGACGCGGCACGCTTCTCCAGCCCCATCTACACCCTGCGAAATGCTTAAGAAATCATGGGTTAAGAAATTCATAGTCTCAGAATTTAACTAAAACTCAGAAATTATATCAAAATCTTGGGAATGAAATTGAAACATTAAGAATAATCGAGACTCTGGCCGAAAATTTAAGTTTTCTTAAGCATCGCCTGAGGTGTACTCCGACCCCATCTGGGAGGCCCGGATCCTTAGGGCCCCACCCCTCGGGCAGGAGAACCCAGAGTCGACTCGATGAGTCGGATCGGCGATCGAAAGGAGTCGGATCGGCGAACATCGGAGGCCAAAGCGGGAAACATCGAATCGACGGACATCGGTAGGCTAGTAGGCCTACATTGAGAGATCGGACCCAAATCGGAATGCGGAGTCGAATCGAATCGGAATCGGAAGCCACCGAAACCGAATCGAATCGAATCGGAGGAATCGAAATGAGCCCTGCTTAGGACCCCACCCTTGAACCACCGAAGAAGAGGACGACGCCCTGATCCGCTCGGAGAGCCACGCGGTCGCCATGGGCGCTCGAACGAGCGCAGAGAACGATGCCGGGCGGGAGGGGGGGGCGCAGAGAGCAAGACGGGAGGCGGGCGAAGAACGGTATAACATAAACTTTTTCGCTGTCGGGGGCGCCTGTCCCTGGGCGGCTGGAAAGTTTATACCCTTACGGTGGCACCGTAAGGGTATAAACTTTCCAGCCGCCCTGGGGCAGGTGCCCCCGACGGCGAAAAAGTTTATGTTATACCGTTCTTCGCCCGTTAAGGGAGGGGGGCGCAGAGAGCAAGAAGGGCGGCGGGCGGGGAGGAGGAAGCACGGAGATGCAACGACGCGGGCGCCGCCCGCGCCCTCGGGGCACCTGGAAGGCGGGCGGGCTCGCGAGAAGCAGCACGCGAGCGACGAGAAGGAGCGTAAGACGGAGCCAGAAAATGTCAAACACGCACACAAAAAAAGGAACCCCCCCAAAAAAACAACACAATACCCCCCAAAATAGGGTTGAATGCAAACGTATAAACATAGAATAGATCAGACATCTCGAGTAACATAAAATGCAAGCAACGTTTAAGAACATCACAAGTTACTGCAAATCATGAAAGCAACAAGGACGAGGATAACCTCGGGTGAGGACTCATCGAAGCTCTCCGAGATCCTGCGGCTCCCGGAGAAGCTGTGGGGCGCCGCGGCCTCCTCAGAGCGTTCCAGAACGCTCCGAGAGCGTGCCGGAACGCTCTGGTCGGGAGCGGCCAAGAGGGGGGTGTCCAAGAGGGGTGGGTGCAAATCATGACCGGCGGCATGTGCGCGGCCCAGCGGGGAGGCCAGGGACGTAATGAAACAAGAAGGGGCGCCATGAAATCTGGGGAAATATCATGGCCCACGCCATGATATCCCCCCCCCCCGTCATCACCCTCCTCTTTTCCGCCCCCGACTCTGGAGCGGACTCGTCCTCGTCCTTGCCCCGTCCGGGAACGGGTCTTTTGCTCAAGATGGCACAGCTCGGGGATGGACAGGCCCCCCTTTAGCAAAACGTGCTTTAGTGAAAACGACCTGAGGCCCGAACCTGGCGGGCGCAGGCCTGGAAAACGACGGCCACGGCGCCCTCCCGAGAACCGAAAACGAACAACTCACTAATCAACGTGTCACTGTTGGGGGTTCTGTCCAGCCCCGGAACGCTCTGGAGCGGACTTGTCCTCGTCCTAGCCCCGTCCGGGAACGGGTCTTGCGAGGGGAAGAGGAGGAGGAGGAGGAGGAGGAGGAGGAGGAGGAGGAGGAGGAAGGAGGAGGAGGAGAGGAGGAGAGGAGGAGGAGGAGGGAGGAGGAGGAGGAGGAGGAGGAGGAGGAGGAGGAGGAGGAGAGGGAGGGAGGAGGAGGAGGAGGAGGAGGATGGCACAGCGACCTTGCGCGGCGGCTTCAGCGGGCCGCCGGCGCGGCACGCTGCACCGGAAACGAGGGCGCTCACGCGCGGCCTTGCGCAGGAAGCTTGCGCGCCGATGTCGGCGCAGACGACCCCTTGTTTATCGCCGCTCATGTGCAGGCGTCGCTCTACTGTGCTTAAGTCGGGCCTGTCCCCGTACAGGGGGATTTTTTGGACGAAGAATGAAAAGTACTAACAAAATACCCCCAAATAGTCAACAATACTCGAAACATCGCCCTCAAAAATGGTCAGAAAATCGTCCCCCTACATTTTTTAGGCTATGTTTGAATGTTCCCCCTGCAGGGGGACATACCCGACTTAAGCCAAAACAAATACCCCAAAGATGCCCCCCAAACATGAACAATTACAAAACAAAACAAAAAAATGCCCAAGAATGACAAGTACCTAAAAATACCCCACACATACGCCCAAATAGTCAGAAAATCGTCCCCATACTATTGTTTGACTAGTTTTGAGTGTTCCCCCTGCAGGGGGACAGGCCCGACTTAGCCCTTGTGTATCGTCGCGAGTGTGCGGGCGTCGCTCTGCTGGGCACGGGGCCGCGGCGGGAGGGCGGGGAGGAGAAAGGCGGAGGATGCCGCCATCCCACCCCGCTTGCCCAGCCTCGTGCTGCTCCTTCTGCTCCTCCCTCCCTCTGAGAAGGGGGGAGGAGCAGAAGAGGACATCGATCGACCACATCAATCGAGGAGGCGGCGGAGGATGCCGCCATCCCAACCCTCCTGCCCATCCTCGTGCTGCTCCTTCTGCTCCTCCCTCCCTCTCTGAGAAGGGGGGAGGAGCAGAAGAGGACCTCAATCGAACCCATCAATCGAGGATGTATCCCCCACGCATGGCACATAGGGACACCATTGCCGGGACCCTGCGCCCGACCCCCTCTTTCACCCTTTCATTCTCAACTCTGGCCAGCCTCTCAGCTGCTGGAGAGGCTCTGGGGCCCGGGGCAATATCTCTGTGCTCGGCTTGCCTCCCCCTCCTGCCTCCCTCCTGCGAAGGCTCGCGCCGATCGGCAAAACAATGAGCAAGAAAACGATCACAATCCGGATGATCTGTTCCGATTGCGGTGTCGAGTAATGGGAGAAGGAGTGGAACTGAAGAGAACGAAAAGGCGATCAGAACGCGCGTGAAGGAAATTGAGGGACAGAGTAGATCAGCAGGGGTATCGGAAGGAGGGGGAGGGAGAACGAGGAGCAGGACGCGGACCTGCAGGGGAAGGCCACAGCTCCACGACAGAGTTGTTTGTCGTGCGCGACACTTCCTAGACATGTGGCTGCGTGCACACGCACGTGAGACGGATGCAGATCAGGTAACGGCTCCTGGGAGGCCTTCGTGAGAACGATGAAGGGCTACCAGGCCGACAGAAAGGGCCATCAAGCTGGATTAGTCCGGACGGAACCGGATTCAGAAGGATCGAGCGGGATCACGCCCGATGATATCGATTGCCGACCACGGATCTGCCAGCGCCGATGCTGAATGGAAGCTTCCAGGAACTGCATCCGAAAGTACAGGTTGGTGGCCGGGCGCGCCCCTGACTCTGAGCACACCACGGGGCGAGCGCGCCCCAGCCTCCGGCCGCGAGCGCGGCTTCGCGGAGCACGCCCTGGCGAGCGACCAGGCGAGCTGAAGAGGAAAGACTGCTCAGGGCGAAGATGATGCCGTGATGCGAGTGGCCCAGGATGCGTTCCAAGGATCCCAGAGTAGGTGCTTAGGACGAAGATGATGTCGTGATGCGATTGGCCCGAGGTGCGGTTCAAGGATTCCAGGGTACCTGGCGGACCTTGGAGATCTGAGAGATCTTGGTCCGCATCATTCTCAGGACCTCCCGCTCCTCTGTCTACTGTTAGGTCGGGCATGTCCCCCTACAGGGGGATTTTGGACCAAAAATTGCGGTTACTCAAAACATACTCAGAGGATGCTAAAAATACTTTAAACAATAGTCCCCATACTATTTTTCAACTATTTTTGAATATTCCCCCTGTAGAGGGACAGGCCCGACTTAAGTCTACTAAGCAGAGCGGAGCCCGCTGGAGCGGGTGCCAGGCAGAGCAGGGCGCACTCTTTGGGGCTGTGCCCGCGCCGGTCCCTGAGCTCCGACGTTCGCGAAATTACAGTAGGGCTGCTGAAAGAAGGAACGCTAAATCAGGAACGAAGCCCCTTCTTGGCCCTGTAAGCGCCTCCGCGCCCCAGGAGGCCAAGAGGACCAGCACTGGAGGAACCTAAGGAACATCGGGCCCCTTCCGAACCCAAACTGTTCCTCAGTTCAGCGTCTTGACTGCATTCCCTACCGCGAAGAATCACGGCTAGCGCCCGAGACCCCATCTGACTGATGCATTTTGCCAAAAGACCGTTTTTTGTTTCCCTTCCCGGCAGTCGTTACCCGGGGGAGAGCGGGAGGGGGGGGGCTCGGGCGGGAGGGTAGCGGCAACGGCGGTCGCGGCGTGCACCCGCCAGGGTGCGCGCCACCGGCGCATCAGTCGCATGTGTGCACCACAGCATGTAGGGGGGGGTCTGGGCCACCCCCTCAACACGACCGTCAGCGTCAGCCCAGGGAGGGGGGGGGAGGCAGGGTTTGGCCGGGCAGCGGGCAACGAGGGGTACCCCGGGGAGAGAAAAAACGTAGCGATAAAAGAAACGCTCCTCGGCCAGACCATCGACGTCATGATTTTGCTCATGACGCGACCCCCGGAGGTCTGGACTCCTTCCTCGGGACCGGCCCAGGCCCAGTGAGGGCCCGCGGCCCCCGAGGCCGAAAACAACGAGACACCTCCCGTCCTGCTTCTGTCACGACTCGAGGGGGTCCTCCGCGGCTGGCCCGCTCTGTGCCGGGCTCGGGCCGGGCAAGCCCTGCGGCGCTCCAGGCTCGGAGGCGGCGCTGGCCCTGGCGCGCGTGAGCGGCAGCCACGGGCGCGGCGCGCTCGGCGCGAGGAGGGCGGCTCCCGGGGGAGGGGCGCGCGGAGACAGCGGCAGGAGGGCCCGGCATCGCACCGTCGAGTGGGGGGCCGACTGCAGAGTGGAGCTGCCCCAGACTTGATCTGCCTCGGACCCGCGATCGACGGGAATCGGACCGGCGGAAATCGGCAGCCACGCCGGGAGGCGTCGAATCGGCAGAACTCGGCAGGCTACGAAACCTCGCTTCAGAAGTTCGGGGTTCAGATCGGAAGCCGAGGTCGAATCGGAATCGGAACCCATCGAGCGCGAATGGAATCGAATCGAAGGAATCGAAGCGGGCCCTGCAACGATAGCTCGAAATAGGTTCCCAGACCCCCCGATGAGGTACAACACGGACCAGCCTTCCGGGCTGCGTCCTGCCGCGGCGGCGAGGGTTCCCCCCCCCCCCCCGAGATCCAACTGCATACTGCTGTCTCGGTTCGCCCTCCTCTCGAGTAGGGGATCGACTACATGATTGATTTACCACACCATTGACTTTCTCGTCGAATCTAAAGAAAAAGCGTAGAAAGCTCGTCGATCTACGGAGCAATCTTCGCAGTTATCGTAGAGCCGACTGGACAATCACTTCGGGGGTAAATCAATTCTGCAGTCGATCCCCCGCGCGACTGCTCTGAGGCTCAGATCTGCTCGCAGCGCTCGCTCCCCTCGCGGCTGCTGCCCTTGAGGCTCTCGTTCTCGCCCCGGCTGTCCTCGGGGGGCGGCCAAGAGGGGGGGCGTCCATGAGAGGGGGTGCAAATCATGGCCGGCGGCATGCGCATGGCCAAGGGGGGGCCAGGGACGCAATGAAACAAGAAGAGGCGCCGTGAAATCTGGGGAAATGTCGTGGCCCACGCCGTGATATCCACACTTCTGCCTGTTCGCTGCCCCGTGACTGGGGGAAGGAATCGTGACTAGCAAATCGTCAACGAAGTCAGCGCTAGACCCCGACCCTTGGAACAGGGCGCCTGCGTGCGAGCCGAATCCAGCAAAACGCGCGAGGAGCCCGAAAGGAAGACGAACCGAACCCCGCGAACCCGCAGAAGCCCCTTTCCCGAGTGCACAGCCCCCCTAAGAAAGGACGCCACCCCTAGCCATCACCCCTCGGGGATCTTCTGACCCGGGTCAATCCAGACCCGGGTCAATCAGGCCTGCAAAATCCTGCAAGATCCTGCACCCAAACCCGGGTCAATGCGAAGGATCCTGCAGGATCCTGCACCCAAACCCGGGTCAATGCGACCCTGGCGCTGCAGGATCCTGCAGGATCCGGCGCTCTGGCTGACCCCCGTCTGCACTGACCCCCGTCTCGAGGCTCCCGAACCCCCCCCTTTTGCCGCCCCCGGCTGTCCACGGACTCGCGCCAGCTCTGTGGCACGCCCATCGCCGTCGGGGCCGGGGCCGCCTGTCGGCGAGGCCCGGGGGCGCGCGGGCGGCCGCGGGCAGGCGCCGCGCGGGGCGCACCGAGGAACCCTGAGGCCCTTACCCTGGCGGGTTCCCAAAGGGGGGTTCTGGCCCTGACCTTCCAGGAGGGCTAAAAAATATCACCCGACCTAAAAACCTATCCCAGAGCTATTCTACGTCTTGGTTTTAGGCTGTTTCGTTTAGTTTTTTAGGTTTTTAGGCAGGCGCCGCGCGGGGCGCACCGAGGAACCCTGAGGCCCTTACCCTGGCGGGTTCCCAAAGGGGGGTTCTGGCCCTGACCTTCCAGGAGGGCTAAAAAATATCACCCGACCTAAAAACCTATCCCAGAGCTATTCTACGTCTTGGTTTTAGGCTGTTTCGTTTAGTTTTTTAGGTTTTTAGGTCTCCAGTGCTAAAAAAAAGCTCTCTGGAAGGTCAGGGGGGGAGGGGTCCCCCAGGGGCTTCGCACCCCCCGATTTGCCCGAGGCCCCTGCTCTCTGGAAAACCCCCTCCCCCAAAACCCCTCTCTGGAACCCTCCGGTCACCGGGCCCCAGGATCCACAAAGAACGGCCCCGGCTGTAAGGCCGGCCCCAGGGGAAGGGTCGGAACTTCCGGGGACCGCGCCGGGAAAAATCAAGAGGTCGCGTGGAGGACTGAGGGGAGGAGGAGGAGGAGGAGGAGGAGGAGGAGGAGGAGGAGGAGGAGGAGGAGGAGGAGGAGGAGAGGGAGGAGGGGAGGAGGGGGAGGGAGGAGGGAGGAGAGGAGGAGGAGGAGGAGGGAGGAGGAGGAGGGAGGAGGGAGTAAGTTCTGCGTGGCGTCGGATCTCAGGGGCCGCGGTCGGGCGCCAGGGGGCGCCACGAGAGACGCCATGTCCTCGCATCCCGGCCCACGCCACAACACGCAACACGTGCAAGCCGTGGTCTCGCATCCTATGAAGGGGCCCCAGGACACACAAATAGATACACACAAATAAAAGGATTCCCCATATTTTCCCATATTTTCTGGGTTTCTGTCTTCCCCCCCACTTCCCATATTTTCCCATATTTTCCGGGGAATCGATGATTAATTGTGTCTGTGTGTTTTTTTCCCTCCTGATCCTAGCACGTCCGCCGCGGGCGGGCGCCGTGGGGCGCAGCCGAACACGCCACGCCCTCTCACCCTGGCCAACGCCACAGCAGGCCGCCCATGCACATTCCAAATTGCCGCACCCTGGCACGCCACACGTGCCCGCCGTGGCCTCGCCATCATCCCCGCCCCCGCGCCCGTCCCCATCCCCGTCCACGAGAGCGTACACCCTGCGAAATGCTCAAGAAATCATGGGTTAAGAAATTCATAGTCTCAGAACTTGAATAAAAACTTCAAATTTCTACCAAATTTGTAGGGTTTACATTGAAACATGAAGAATAAGCGAGACTCTGGACGAACATTTTAGTTTTCTTAAACATCGCCTAAGGTGTATGATGGAGGAGCTGGATAAGCGATGACCGGCTCAAGGTCTTGCAAGGGGCGCAGATCCTCGACTGCCTGGATGGCCCACAAGAGCCGGAGCGAGTCTGGACCCAGCACGCTGGAATCCGCGCCTCCACAAGTCCAGAGAGGCAGGGGTTGCGAGGGGGACAAAAAGGAGTTCGAAGAGGAGGGGAGTCTGACATTCTGTAATCAACGCCCCCTGGGCTCATCCCTCTCCCCTCCCTTTTCCTTATCGGACTCCTCCCTGTCGCACACCCGTACGTGTTGGTAGGGCGGGCCAGGGGTGGCGCCTGATACTTCCTCAATATGTATGATCACGGCGCTTGAGTTCTACAGCAGCTTCATGGATGGAGGGCAGATCACTTTCAACGTATGGCCCTCGCCTTAGCGCCGAGCGCATTCGTCTCAAACGCTTGCAACAGCTTCAAAAATGGGGGGGGTCGCTTTCAAAACGTGGCTCTCGCTTTCGTGCAGCGCGTCCTTTGTATGGCGGAGGGCAGGTCCCTGTAAAAATGCAGCTCTCGCATTAGCGCCGCCCACAGTCGTCTAAAGGTATCCCACTCAGTTCTCTGGGCATCGGTGGCTTAACGTGGAAAGACCCTGAAGCATGTCAAACCATTATTCTCGGGACTCCAACGCCACGGATCAACCTGACCGTCGCGTCTTGACGATCAACCTGACAGTCGCGTCGTGACGATCCTGAATCTTGTCAGAACGCAATTCCTGGGACTTGAACACCCCGAATCAACGTAACTGTTGCGCCATCATAGTCCTGAATCTGTCCAACGCACCGTTTCTGGTTTGCTGACCATGGGAACCCACAAAACTTGTAGAACTGTGTTTACAGGAAGGTGCGCAACGCCAAGGCGAGAGCCACATTTTGACAACGAACCACCCTCGATCCGCGAAGCTCGTACCATGCTTCAAATGAATGTGCGCGGCGCTAAAGCGAGAACCACGTTTTCAAGACGAGCCGCCTTCAATCCGTGAATATGTTGCCAATGTTTCATCTTGATGGTCATGAACGGTGAGGAACTCTCAGGCGAACCAGCCCGTCCTTTCGACTGGCCTCAGGGCGCGACAGCCAGAACTTATATATATAGGAGGCAGGAGGAGCAGTGGAGGGGGAGGAGGAGGGGAGGAGGAGCAGCAAAGACAGGACAGCCGGAGGAGTCCCGGGGTCCCGCTCGGGGGGGGGCGCCTGCGCGAGGCGCCCGCGCTGCGGCGCCACTGCCACGGGGCCGCCGTGCCCGCGCACCGGGGGCGAGGGCGCCCCGCGCTCCCTGCCGCGGCGCGGAGGCGGTCGAGCAAGGGCAGGACCCCCTCCTCCTGCTGCTCCTCCTCCTGCTCCTCCTCCTCCTCCTCCTCCTAAATCCTCCTCCTCCTCCCTCCTCCTCCTCCTCATCCTCCTCCTCCTCTCTCCTCCTCCTCCTCCTCTCCTCCTCCTCCTCCTCCCTCCTCTCTTCCTCCCTCCTCCTCCTCCTCCTCCTCCTTCCCCTCCTCCTTCTCCTTCGCCTCCTCCTTCTCCCCCCCTCCTCCTCCCTCTCCTCTTCCTCCTCCCACTCCGCCTCCTTCTCCTTCGCCTCCGCCTCCTCCTCCGCCTCCTCCTCGTCCTCCTCCTCTCCCTCCTCCCCCCCCTCCATGCCCCTTCCTTATAAATAACTTCTCCCTGTCGCGGCGCGGAGGCGGTCGAGCAACGGCAGGACCCCACGTGAGAACGGTGAGGGGTAGGTTTGATTAAAAGACTACTAAAGGGTCAGAAAAAAAGAAAAGAAAAAAAAAACGATCCAGCCCGAGATCAAAGCAGATCAAGCCGGATTGTATGGGATGAGAAGGGACTGAACGGGGTCAGGCCGGATAAAGCGGGCCTTCGCCGGATTAAGCCGGTTTCCGCCCACATATATACCAGCGCCGATACTGAATTAGGCATCCCAGGATCTGCATCCTATGACAATGTCCCTGGGCCAAGCTGTCCCCTGGGGTTTCGCTCCATTTTGGCATTCCTGGGGCACTCTGGGCGTCGTGAGGGATGCTCTGGAGGTCGTCCAGCCCGTCTCGAAGATCCTGTCGGCTCCCAGGCCAAGGGAAACATCTGGCAACGCCAGAACATCGCTTCTGGGCGGGGAGGGGGAAGAAAAGGACCGAGCAGGGCGCGAACTCAACAATGCCTTCCGTTTTCGTTCTGCGTTCGTTTTCCCTCGCTCCGTCTTCGTTCTGCCTGTGCTGCACGACATCGCTAAATCACAGCTTAGCTCGCGTTCTGGACCCCAGGAGCACGCGTCGTGTATTGTTTTGGAAGCCCGAAATGGGTACGGAAAAAATGGGTACAATGCTCAACAATACATGCTGTCCCAAACCAACAGCGGCCGCTGTTGGGCGGGCGGCCTTCTGTCTCAAATGGACACAGGCCGCGGCGGCGCGGACAGCGAGTCCTGTTCAAAATGAACAGGAACTGCTGTTGGGCATTGTACCCATTCTTTCCGTACCCATCTCGTTCGTGCAGAATTGTTCACGACTGGCAGGGATCTGGGATGTAGGGTCGGGGTTCGAAGACCGAGGTCCGAGGCTTCTGCCACATCCTGGGCCTCCTTTGGGACGCGCAGAGACACGAGAGTACTACATGTCCACCTTGGAGGCGCGCGTCCGACCCGAACATGTAATAGATCCATCGTGTGGCATGTCGTTTCCCGAGCGGTGTGGCTAGAAAGCGCCCGCCACAACGCATATATAAAGGAACAATAACTATGCACATACACCGATTCTGGCCAGGCCAATCCTGAGCCCAGGATCGGTGGATACGCCCTCCTACCTTGGCCAGGAAGGCATATGCACCAATCCTGGGTCAAGGATGGGCCTTGCCAGGATCGGTGCATGCGCCTAGTTCTCTTCGCCCGGATATACTCTTAGATTTCTCGGCACACATAATATAAGTTTGTTGGGGTGACGCCGATCCTCCTCGCGACGTCAGTGCCAGCAGAGCGCAGCACGGGAGAAGCCCCGGACCCCCTCCCTATGGTGTCTGCTCCATGGAAGGCTTCGGGGCCCGTGGCGCTGTCCGATTTGGGCCTGATTTCGACGCGAATAGCAACACATTTGGGACGGATTTTGACCGGGCTCGCCCCTTCGCGAGGAAAGCTGATTTCAGCGTCGCCAGCCAAGGCCAGCATGAACAGACATCGAACCCCACTCCTCTCGCGTCGCGAAAACATCGCGACAGCAAATGCTTGCAATTTTCGACCCGTGGGGGCTCTCGCCAGTCCGCGGGAGCCTGCAAAAATTACCAGCCTGGAACATATCCCTATCCCTATGCTGGGCACCTCCTCATCACGATGCCAATCTTAGGGGTTCCCTTATTATTTGAGGGCGAATCCCTAAGATTGTCATCGCCTTTTGGCGTGTCAATCTTAGGGATAGGGATACGTCCGAGGCTGGTAAAAAAACGACGAAGGATCAAAAGCCTGTCTCGGGGAAAGGGTCGAGACCGAAGACGGAACCAGGAACTGGACCAAGTCAGACTGGGACCAATCGGGCGTCTCTGAGATCTGGCGGTCATGGAGGACGTACTGGGCGCAGTGGCCGTTCCAGAGAGCTCTGAAAGCGTTCCGTGACGCTCTGGAACGATTCATCCAGGTCCTAGCCCCGCCCGAGGACTTCTGGGGGTTCCACTGCGAGCAGAAACAATCACGAAAAGGGGGGATCGACCGGGGAACAGAAGGAGAGACCACACGGACCTTCTGGAGGAAGGAAAGGAAGGAACAACAACTATTCAAATCACTTTTCGGAGGTCCGCGCGGATTTCTCGGATCAGCGCTGGGCCCCCCCTGGTGCGCGGAGCCGGGGGCGCCGCCAAAGAGGCCTAACGCAGATCTCAGAAATTCGCGCGGACCTCTGACAATGTATGTTGATGTTGTTATTTGTCCTTCCTCGAAATCTGGTGCCAGAAAAAGCACCCCACCGATGAAGAAACCACACGCGCTCGAAACAGATCGAACCATGCCTCCATTGGCGCCAGCACCAATGTATCTGCCCCGGGGCGCCACGAATGCAACTGGACTACGGGCCTTCCAGCACTTGGATGGGTGAGTGGGAAAAAACGCGGGCACATATAAATCGAACCCAAGATCGGGATCAATCGCTGCAGGGCGTTCCAGGGCGCTCTCGAAGCGTTCAAGAACGCTATAGGAAGGCCGCGGTGCCCGATACGTATATCCTTGAAAGCGGTGGCCCACAATGATTCCGGATGCACTTATCCCGATGCGTCGTTGTCCCGATCCTGCCCCCGCATCGACAGCCCAAGAATGCGATGCCCTGCTTCTGTTCCATCTACGGGTTCCCGCAAGTGCCGGCCCTTTACCCAGGGCCAGTTTCTCATCCCGGTCGCTTTTTGACGGTCCCGACGGGGCCCAGCGTGGGCCCTTGTGGAGGCCCCCCAGGAGGCCCACAAAGAGGCCCCGAGAGGCCCCCAGACGGCCCTACTAATAGGCCCCAAATGGCCACGAACGCGCAACCAAATGCCTGCGATGGCACAGTACACTGCTCAGTACAGGCTGGCGGAATGAGCGAAGCGATGAAATCAAACGCTTGATCAACTGTCAATATACATATACACAACTATATACAGAATCCTAAGATCACCTCCTGTATCCGTAGCCGTCACACCTCGATGCGAATTACCATACCTAATCCCCTCCTGCTCGCAATGGCGATTGCCGTTGTGGCTTCGCTCTTACGGGCGACCTGGCGCTCAAATCCGAATTTTCGGAATACCGACTGCAACCCTAATTCGACGAATGCTCCGTTCACCGTTCCGTAACACCCGAATTCTCTCCATGGAAGGTAACTAGTGCATGCACTGACCTCCAGGACTCTATCACGCTTTTCCTCCACAGTCATGACTCCGTCGCTCGCCGATCTACGCCTGTCAAACATCCTGCGTCGCCCATGTCAGTCCACCCCGAGAGCTCACTCGGCATGGTCGTGCCCAGCGCGTGCAAGCGCGCAGCGGGCGGAGCACCCCGGCGCCACGGCGACGAACCATGTCCTCTGCATCCGAGCGCCATACCGGGAACCGCACTTTCACAAAATCAAGGCGTCGCGTGTCGGCGTGTCGGCGGTCCCCAAAGCGCGAGAACAGCGGTGCCGTCGGCAGTGGTTCAATCGAGCTCGACGACGGGCTTGCCGAGGCCGATATGGCGCGAGGTGCCGCCGCGCTTGCCAGTGCGGCCTCGCGCTTCCGAGGCGCCAGGCGAAGGGTAGGACCGCGCTACTGCCCAACGCTGGAAGTTTGGAAATGCATTTCAACACTGACACAACGAAAGACATTCTTACTAGAAATGAAATACAGTCGACCCGTGTCAAAAGGATGCGCGGTAAAGATGCAAGGGCCTTGGAAGGCCGTTTCGAAGCTTTTTGAGCGGGGCGCGGCAAACGAAAGTGGCCAATCATGGACCGAGGAGGCAAGGGTGCAAGAGTGCCCTAGGGAAAGTTGACCATCCAGACTATGCGGGCTGACTGTAGCGATGTTGGTGGGTTTGCCTTGTTGGAGGTTGTAACACCAAGGAATTGCCTGCAATGAGGTTGGTCTTGCCCTCAGTGAGGGTGCCTCCTCCGACCGAAAATGATCCCGTAGTATGGCGTTGGTGGTAATATTTCGGCCATCTAGGATGCCCGAGTCTTACCACCATCACCCAGATCGGGATCATCTTCCCTCGGTGTCGGCGGCAAGGCAGAGGCGGTCCGCTCCAACGACTGGCAATTCGGGGCAACCGAAGGGCTAATTAGCCGGCATGCAAGAGGAGGGAAAAAGCCTTCCGCACACGCGAAGTACCAACCATGCAGGATACACGCTGAGTGCAGAGCACTTAGCGTGTATAGGCGTATCCCCAACTACACGCTAAGAGTAGGACCATGACAGTATACGGTGTCAGGACGGGTTACGACTGCCTCCCGCCGTGGAGGTCGGGAGGGTCGGGGAAAAAGCAGGGTCCATCCATCTTCTTCCTCATCGAAGAACGGCCGAACCCATTTTAGCAAAACGCCTCTTCGTGAAAACTGCCGTGGGCACTCCACGCACGCACGGCACCGCACTCCGAGTGGACCCGGGCAGAATCGCCAACCGACGTCCAACACACAACCAAGTGCACCCTTGGCAAAGCGCGCGTCGAAGCGCGAAGGGGTACCGCACCAGTACCCAGCGAATGCCATTGCCGAGCCAGGGAGCCCACGAAGGACGTACGCGCCCACCCACGTACATGACCACGGTCCCCCAATCAGCGAGACCGCCCGCGTGATACGAACGTTCGCACAATACACACTCTCGAAACCAACGTGGATGTTTATTTGCGTGCACGTCCTTCTTGCACTCTTGCCGAGCGACCTGGTGCACAATTCCGCGATCCACGTCTCTTGGCGGCGCGCAGAGGAGGGCAGGGGGAGGGGGGAAGGCTTCTTCGAGGGGCGCTGCCCTCAGAAGGCGCCAGCCTTCCATGTCTAGAGAAGGCCCGCGCCTTCGAAGAACCAGGGGTGCCTCTTAAGAGGCCTTCCCCCTTCCCCCTGCCCCCCTTCTGCGCGTGACCGAGCCTCGGCGGCCGTCATCTCAGTGCCCCGGTCTCTGCGCCCTCGTCCGCTCCGTCGCCCGCGTCCGCTCGTCCGCCCTCGTCCTCCTCCTCCTCCTTGTCCTCCTCCTCCTCCTCCTCCTCCTCCTGCTCCTCCCCCTCCTACGCCTCCTCTCTGCGTGTCCTCTCTGCGGCCGTCATCTCAGTGCCCTGGAGGAGGAGGAGGAGGAGGAGGAGGAGGAGGAGGAGGAGGAGGAGGAGGGAGGAGGAGGAGGAGGAGGAGGAGGAGTGGTCTCTGCGCCCTCGTCCGCTCCGTCGCCGTGCTCGCCTCCGCCGCCCGCCGACGCCGTCGGCGTCCGCACCCTGGGGGGCCGCCTGCTGTGGCTGCGGCTCTGGCGGTCCTCGCGGCGGCTCCGCGAGAGGCTCACCCTGGTAACCTTCGGCCGCACAGGGCCTCCTCCTCCTCCTTTCCTCCGCCATTCCTCCTCTCCTCCTCCTCCTCCTCCTCTCCCTCCTCCTCCTCCCTCCTCCTCCTCCTCCTTCTCCTCCTCCCCTCCTCCTCCTCCTCCTCCTCCTCCTCCTCCTCCTCCTACATTCCTCCATTCCTCCTCCACCGTTCCTCCACTCCTCCACTCCTCCGTTCCTCCATTCCTCCATTCCTCCATTCCTCCTTTCCTCCTTTCCTCCATTCCTCCATTCCTCCATTCCTCCATTCCTCCATTCCTCCTCCTCCTCCTCCTCCTCTTCCTCCTCCTTTCCTATTCCTTATGAATCTACCACCGCGCTTGCAGCGGTAGGTGTGTGTCGGGCCCTCTGGCTCCTGGCGAAGCAGTAGTTCAGGCCCCCCGACGCATCCAGCCCAAGATGCGCTCATTTGTATGACCAAGTCTCTGCGTCTTTGGCCTTCCAGACAGAAGATGCGCCCAGCTATGAGACTCGGGGAAGGACGCGCCCGAGTGCGGTGGCGAAATCGCGCGGCAGCACCACTGGATAACTCCTCCCTGTCGCACCCCGAGGCGTGTGGGTAGGGCGGCCCGGGCGTTTCGCGCGAGACTTCTTCACCACTTCTGGTCCTGAGGCTTCGACCTTGCAGCAGCTTCTCGGATGGAGGGCGGGCCGCTTCCAAAATGAGGCTCCCGCCTTAGCGCCGCGCACATTCGTTTTGAACAACTTTGCAGGAGCTTCACGGATGGAGGGCGGTTCCAAAATGTGGCTCTGGCCTCAACGCTCCTTGCACATTCGCTATACATTAGTGCAGGAAGTTCACCGATGGATTGCGGGCTGCTCTCAAGATGTAGCTCCCGCTTTAGCGCCGCACGCACTCGGGTTAAACATGTGCGAGAGCGTCGCGGATAAAGGGAGGTTCCTCTTTCAAAATATGGCTATCGTCTGAGCGCCGCGCAAATTCGTGTTTTCATGTTGGTGTTTCTTTTTTTTAGTAACCATGTTATATGTATATATGTATGATGGTAGATCTGGTTCACAACAGTTTCAATGATGCCCATGGCTTGTCAACTTAACACTGTTTTGGCACGATGTCGAAAGGCCATGGCGCAACAATTTCTTTGATTCGCGGTGTCGAACTCCAAGGAATGGTGTTCTGGCACGATGCAAGATCGTCAAGACGCAACAGTAATGGTGATTCGCGGCGTCAAGGTCCCTTGCAATGTTCAAGCGTTTCAAACGGACGCAAGGCCTGAAAGCGGCCCCGGAGACTAAAAAAGGCATAATCATAATACATTGTCGAACCCAGACCCTAAACTGTTGGAGTTCTCTAGCTCAAGAAAAAATATCGCCATGATACCTCGAGCAAGACGCCCCGCCTGGCCTGACGGACAGGCCTTTTGGTGCATCCCGCCCTCCTAAGTTCTTCTGAGCGACACCTTTTTCGTTCGGTGCCTCACGCCCTCGACTTCCGTCGTGACTGCTTCTGCGAATGCGCGCACAGCGCTCCGAAGACTGGACGAAGAAAACATGCCATAAACATAAGCTTTGGACAGTCCGCGCGGAATTCTTGGATCTGCGCCCGACCCCCCTGGCGCGCGGAGCGCGCCAGGGGCGGCGCTGGAGGCGCCGCCAGGGCGCTAAAGCGCATATCAAAGGAATCCGCGCGGAGCGCAAACACAGTGTATGTTTAAAGACGACGGCCTGTTCTTCTCTAGAGCTCTCAGTCCTCTCTCGAACCAGTTGGCCCCGCATTGTCCTGGTCCTGTGATTGTCTGACCCTCTTACGGGAATGGGGGCGAGGAGGAGGAGGAGGACGAGGAGGAGAAGGAAGAAAGGACAAGAGGAGGAGGAGGAGGAGGAGGAGGAGGAGGAGGAGGAGGAGGAAAGGAGAGGCAGGACGAGGTGGAAGAGGAGGAGGACGAGGGGGAGGATGATGAGGAGGAGGAGGAGGACAGGAGGAGGAGAAGGAGGAGGAGGAGGTGGAGAAGAGGAGGAGGAGGAGGAGGAGGAAGAGGAGGGGGGGGTTAGTGGAGGGATGGTCCGTGAAGCAGCCCACGTCACTGATTCTCCTGGCGCCTCCCCGCGCCGGAGGCGCCAATATATCGAGGAGGGCGCACGGCGACGGCGGGTCCGAAAAAACAGTTCAGCTGCATGCTGTAGATGTCGTTCCCCCCAATCCCATCTCCCCTCCTCGTCGTCCTCTTCGTCGTCGTCCCCCTCCTCCTCCTCCTCCATTCCTCCTCCATTCCTGCTCAATTCTTCCTCCTCCTACTGCTCCTACTCCTTCCCCTCCTCTTCTTCCTCCTCCTATTCCTCCTCCTCCTCCTCCTCCTCTTGCCGCTCCTCCTCCTCCTTCTCCCCCCTCATTCCTCCTCCTCCTCCTCCTCCGCCTCCTCTTCCTCCTCCTCCTCCGACGACGACGACGACCAGCTCAGATTCCTGATCGTATGTCCCCCTTTGCTCGCCCGCCGCCTCCGCCGCCTCCCTCTCCTCCTCACCTGCCTGGGCAAGCCGCTGGGGCGAGAGCTCGAGGCGTCAGTTCTTATCCTCCTCCTCCTCCTCCTCCTCCTCCTCCTCCTCCTCCAGTTCTCCTCTTACTCGCCCTCCTTCTCCTCCTCCTCCTCCTCCTCCTCCTCCGCCTCCTCCTCTTCCACTACAGTAGGAGCTCGACAAAAGAAACCTTCCACAATAATCCCAACCCTGAACCCCCAGGGCGTCCACTGATTTCTGGTGTGGGAACGTCACGCTTCCCATAGCAGAACCCTCGAAACCCAAGAAACCCAGGACACGTTGGAGGCAATCAGGGTGTTTCCTGGCATGGGTTTCCACTGTGCCCCCGCCCTTTCCTTTCCCCCCCCCCGAGGATCCTCGTCGCCTGGCTTTCGGGCCACAACTCGGGTCTCTGGCGGCCGCCCGGGAACGATGCGGGCACCCCCGGAACGCCCGCGGCGAGGCGCAGCTGCAGGAGAGCATCTCGAAACTACAGTACCGCCGTGATCCGACGAAAACGTCAGAAAAAAAACCTCAAGCCCTTATCTTCTTCGTAGCCCCCCACACTGGCTCTCCAGAGGTCCGGACCCTTCCTGGCGACCAGCTTCTTATCCTGAGTCGTTCCTTGACGGTCGCGAGGCCCAGTGAGGGCCCCTCGAAGCCGAAAGTGAAGAAAAGCCATCATTCGCATTTTTTTGACGAGCGAACAACACACACACCCATACCCATAGGGGGGGTCGTTGGGAGGAGGACTGGCTATGGGTATGGGTGCGGGTAGTCGGACCCTGGGGAACGATCCCGCTCGAACGGGGACCCCCATCCGACAACACGCACCCATAGCCCTCTCCGACCCCCTATGGGTATAGATGTGTGTTGTTGGTTCGTCATTTTTTATGACTCAGTGAGCGCAGGCGAGTCTGGCCAGCAAAACAAGCAAACCGCACACAACATCCTTGTAATCTGTGCCTCCCGCGTTGCAAAAACCAGCGCCGCGCCCGAGGCATCCTCCAAATCTGCTCCGAAAGCGGAGGATGCTTTGGACAAGGAACAAGCAAACCGCTCGAGACATCCCCGCAATCTGGGCGCGAGCAGATGAATGAGATACCCCAAGATCCCCTATACTTTGGCTGATTTGCCGACTTCCAAATCTGTCGAAACGCATCCCTAACGATGCTACACAGTAGGGCGGAAATTTCCGCCTTCGAAGAAGTAGGCAGACATTTTCGACGGCAAAGCAGGGCGGAAGTCGACATCAAAAGAGCCTGACGAGTAGGACGGGCATCTCCGCCCTGCTCTCACGAAATCGCCCAGGAAGTACGGCGGACCCGGAGTCTGGGGAGAGCATCTGGGTTCGTCCGACCCTTTTCCCTTCGTAGGGGAACAAAAAGTGACATAAACATAAAAACTCGGAGGTCCGCGCGGATTTCTCGCATCGGCGCTAGACCCCCCTCCCTGGCGCGCGGAGCGCGCCAGGGGCGGCGCCGGAGGCGCCGCCGGGGGGCCCCAGCGCCGATGCGAGAAATCCGCGCGGACCTCCGAGCTTTTATGTTTATGTCACTTTTTGTTCCCCCACTGCTCCCCTCCCCCGTGCACGCATACGTCGCCGCATCCACTCTGGGCCGAGTACGAGGGCGGTGCGTGCAGGCGCGCGCAGCCGAAGGTGCTCAAAACCCACGTGCCCAGGCCCTGCACCGCAGGGATCGCGGGGTGCGGGGCTCTCGGCCTGGGCAGCCGCGTGCGGAGCGCGCGGGCACCCTATAGCGGCTGCACGCACGAAGCGACCCTGGGCAGCAGCGCCCCTTGGTGCGCGGCTTTTGTGAAGGGGCCCTGGGAAACACAAATAAATACAAACAAATAACAGGATTCCCCATATTTTCTCATATTTTCTGGGTTTTGGTCTTCCCCCCCACTTCCCATATTTTCCCATATTTCCTGGGGGATCGACGATGAGTTGTGTCTGTGTGTTTTTTCCCCTCCTGATTTTGGGGGGCGAGAGCGGGCCAGGCTCAAGTGGGCAAGCCGCTCCAGGCCGGTGTCGGGGGGCTCCCCTGCGGGCCCGCAGCAGAGGCCGCGCCGGCGAACGGTCCCTCTTACGTCTGGTGGAGTCTTGCGGGCCCCTTCCCCGGGGAGCGGTGCTTCATCCGGAGTCGTTCCTTGAGGTCCCAAGGGCCTGGCGACGGCTCCCACGCGCCGAAGCTGTCCAAACATCGCCCTTGCTGATTCGCTTCACGACACGAGGAGGTCAGGGTCGGGCACGAAGACGACGACGACGACGACGACGACGACGAGGACGTGTGGTCCACTTTCGCTACACGCAAGAGTGACCCTGGGCAAGAGTGACCTTTGGTGCGCGGCTCATTGGGGGCCGCGGGGCGACCAAACACAGGCGCGCAAGACGCTGCTATCGCACCGCGCTCGGCGATCGGGGGGAGCCCAACGGGCCCGCACCAGAGGTCACTCCGGCGAAAAATCACTCTTAATGAGCAGGGGCCGACAGTCCCGACATTCCTATAGTCCTACCACGAAATGTTCTTAGAACCCGGCAACGTTCTAAAAACAAAAACAATGTTCTTAGAGCATTCGCCCGATGCCCGATGTGTTAACACAAGACAAACTCAACCAGGCATGTTCTAGGAACATGCCGTGGAGACCACAAAGGTTCTTAGAACATGGTCTGGATGGACTATAGGCGAGCCGGGACGCTTCGCCACTGCTTGATCCACTCGACTGCACGCAAGAGTGACCCTGGGTAAGAGTGACCCTTGGTGCGCGGCTTCTTGGGGGCCGCGGGGAGCGCGCAAGCCGCTGCTACCGCTCCGTTTTCGGCCACCTGGGGGCCCATCTGTGCCCGCACCAAGGGTCACTCCGGCGAAAGGTCACTCCTACACCTGAGGCGATGCTTAAGAAAACTTAAATTTTCGGCCAGAGTCTTGATGATTCCTCATGTTTCAATGTAAATCCTAAGATTTGAATGGAAATTTTGGGTTTTTTACTCAAGTTCTGAGACTATGAATTTCTTAACCCATGATTTCTTAAGCATCTCGCAGGGTGTACGTCTAATCGACACTGTAGCCCTCCCTTCCAGTGCCTCCCGGCCTTCAGCCGCACGGGCGGCCCCCAGCCCCCGAGGGCCGCGGCGCCGTCGCCGTCGGGCGACGAGCGCCTGCGCTGCTCCACGCCGGCGGGCAGGGCGAGGGTCACGGCGGACCTGGTCAGGACGTCGGGGGGCAGCCTGCCAGGGGTGGGGGGGGATGAACGAGAACCTCCTCCTCCTCCTCCTCCTCCTCCTCCTCCTCCTCCTTCGTCTCCCCCCCTCCTTCTCCTCCTCCTCCGTCGTCTCCCGCCCTTCCCCCCTTCCTCCTCCTCCTCCTCCTCCCCCTCCTCCTTTTCTCCTCCTCCTCTTCCTCCTCTTCCTCCTCTTCCTCCTCCTCCTCCTCCTCATCCTCCTCCTCCGCTTTCCTCCTCCTCCCTCCTCCTCTTCCCTCCTCCTCCTCCTCCTCCTCCTCCTCCTCCTCGCAGTCCTCCCTCACGGTTGTCTTCTCTTCTTCTCATTCCTTTCCTCCTTCTCCTGGGGCACGGCGGGCCGGGCGAGAACGAGAACGAGCAATTCGCCGTAGTCGGCTCATCCGCCACCGGGACTTCCGCGCGAAAAGGAGTGCCCCGCGTGCAGGCGTACGAACTCGGCGGATCGTGGGCTCTCGAGGGGCTGGAGAACGATGTTCCCAGAGTTTGTGGGCGCTCTTGGGCTCTCCTGGGGCCTCGGCCTGGTGCACTCCACGCCGTGCGTGCTGAGGGCACGGTGGCGGCTACGGGGGGGCAGCCTGCGGGGGGAGGGCGGGAACGAGAACGCGCGACTCGACGTACCCCGGATTTCGTAATAAAGGGAGGGGGTCTCGTTTCGGGGGGGGGGGGGTCTCTTCCAGGCTTATCTTGGAGGGCCTGGGGGGTCTGGGGGCGATGTTTTGGAGGGTTCTCCCACGGGGGAGGTCTGAAATGGCTTGTCTTGGAGGGTCCAGACCCCCTCCCTTTTGTTACGAAAGCTGGACTACGAGGAGGAGGAGGAGGAGGAGGAGGAGGAGGAGGAGTGGAGTACCCCGAGATCCTGGCAGGTCCAACAAGTAGAGGAGCCCCAGCACTTTGGCAGCGGACCAAGTGCAGAGGCCCAAGGCAACAGGGATAGGGGGTCTTGCCAGCGAATCTTTTGCTGGCAAAGCCTGTGCGGCCATGGTCGGTTCATCTGCACGGCCGCGGCGCCGACGCGGCATCCGTTTAAAATTTGTTTTGTTTTGTAAGAAAAAATAGTGGACACAGGGTTTTGTGGATGTGCGGGAACAGTCGCTATGACAAATGAATCAAACCACACCAACCCGATTTATCATCCCCGATGCAAGCACGGGGGCCTGAGTTAGGCGACGTTTTGGTTGTGTTATCAGGGTGAAGGGTGAAGGGGTCTCTAACTATCGATGACTGTTGAAATTTTGTCACGCCCTGCGATTTCGCCTGGTTTCGGGCCTTCGGGCCATCACGGACCAATCCGGCTCGAGAAATGCCAGAGAAAATAGAGTCTGAGGCTCTGGTTGCGACGTTTCGCAATGCTGCAATTGTTTCGAAACGTCGGATCTCAGGGTAGTCGGATCTCAGGGTTCGACCTACAGCTAGCACATGCGATAAGAATGCCTGCCTTGAGAAATCTTGGGGCCCAAATTCTGCGGTGACCTCTGATGCACTGAGGTGCCCGAGAGCTTCTGTGGACATGTTCATTGGGCACCTCCTGGCAGGCCGAATTCTCGTTAGTGTGCCTTCCGTATTCGGTTGATGGGGACTTGCGGCCAGGAAGTTTTTGAAGGGGCCCTGGGACACACAAATAAATACACACGAATAAAACTGTTCCCCACATGTTCCTATGTTTTCTGGGTTTCTGTCTTCCCCCCCACTCCCCATATTTTCCCATATTTTCTGGGGAATCGCCGATTCATTGTGTCTGTGTGTTTCCTTCCCTCCTGAGTTCTGCCTGGGCGTGTCGCGGAGGGGCGGCCCCGGCGACGCGCCAGGCCTTGCAAAAGCGGGCAGCGCGCCGCTCCGCTCAGCGGAGCGGCATGCTGGGAAGAGCTCGGGGCGGTGACGCTGGCAGAGGAGCTCGGGGACCAATATCAGGGGGACGTAAGACCCGGGTACGGGGGACTCGGAAATCCCCGACGAGGTCGTCAAAAAAATGACGAGGCCGAGCCTGCATTTTGACGAGGCCTCCCGCTGCAGACATCCCACGAAACTCCTCCTCGTCAAAATCCGAGGCGCGGTCGTCAAAAAACGATGGCGAACCCGAGTCCTGGCAAACCCGGGTCTTACGCTCCCCCGACAATACGTGATAAGCCTGTCGCGCCGAAGCGTGGTGGGTCAGGACCGGCGGCGCCGCGCACGAAGCAGACGCTTCTGGCCGCAAGACTGCAGAAGAACCCGATGTTGAAAAACATATTGGCCTTCCATCCGTGTAACCTGTTGGAGATCAGGTGTTTAAGACCAGCGTGCGTCGCGCTCAGGCGAAAGCTTAGTTTTAGAATCTCTCCCCGGAAGGTCCCGGCTGCTGCGCCACGAGTGCCAGCGCGGTGCCAGCGCGGTGCCAGCGCGCTGCCTGCCGGCTGCCGTCGCCTGTCCTGTGCCAAATCGGATGCCTACTCAGTGGCCCTGCCAATACAGTCGGAGGCTTGACCCAAGGAGCGATAAATAAGGAACGAGGCCCCTTTTGCCCACACGTTGACCTTCGATCTCCAGTGGAAAACCTCAGGAAAACCGAAGGCAAACTGCAGAACAATCAAGGAACACCGAGCCCCTCCCCAAGGAAAAGGGTTTCTTCTTCAGGGCCCCGACTGCATCTTGCCCAAACCAATTCAAAACCACATTTGTAGCCAATGAACAGAATCGGATCTACATGAAACTGCCTCTTCAACGGGAGCATGCATCTTCGACGGGAAAGCTGATTGAAACAGCTCCCAAGTCAAGCGACTCTCAGGGACCGTCAGGACCCTCCCAGCAGCCTATCCAGAGCCTATCAAGACGCTGCTCCCATCAGGACCCTCTCAGGACCCTCTCCGAAACCTCTCGAAAGACTCTCTCCAGGACCTCTCAGGAGCCTCTGGGCAGCCTCTCAGGACCCTCTCACATCAGAAGCCATTTCTGAGGAACATGTCAAGAGCCTTGCAGGAGCCTCTCAGAAACTTCTCATGAACCTCGCAGGGGCCACCTCTCTCAGCATCCTACTGTTAGGGTACTTTGCCGAAGTTCATTTCTCCTCAGGAGTGCAGAAGTTCCACCAATGGCTGGACTGGGCGAGCCTGGGTGCGCAGACTGGGTCCAAGCGCTGGGCGGCAGAAGTGGGACTTGCTGCAATGGGCGACGGCATTATCCAACCTCCCCCTCCGTGAGAGGGGACATTAATTAAATGAAGGTTGGCCCAGGGGGGGGGGGAACATCGACCCGGGTTCGGCGATGCATCGCCGATAAAACGGCGATACGATGCTCTCGATAGCGAAACCGCACGTTCATGGGCAGGGTAGGCTATCAGGCCACCATCGGCGATGAGTGGGCGATTGGGGGTCGACGCATTCCCTCTGAACCTATACCCCCTCGGTGAGGGCGTTGGATGAGGGACCACCGGACACGGAAACAGGGCATGCAAGCTGGTGGAGCTCCCATCGCGCATTGCCCCCCCCCCCCCCCTCCCCGCCACCGTCGTGACGTTGTCCCCGGCTCTTCCTAGGGCTCCCAACTTCGCGCTTCGCGCTCCGCGAAGCGCGAAACGCGAATAACTTCGCGCTCTCGCGCCGCCCCCCCAAAGGGAGAAAAGGAGGACGAGGAGGAGGGGGAGAAGGAGCGAGGACCGCGAAGCGCGAAGCGCGAATAACTTCGCGCCCTCGTGGGAGCCCTTGCTCTTCCCTCCCGCTCTTGGCCGCCCCCTCCTCGCCGCTCGGCCTCCCGACGGCACCGCCGAGACCGCATGCGGGCCCACCCGCGCCGGAGAGACGGTGCACGGCCGCGCCCACTGTTGTCGGGCGAGTGGCGCGCTTGAGCGAGCCTGTGCAGCACGCCGGCCGCGGGCGAAGAGACTTGCCGTTCGCCATCCCGTCTGCGATGCGACGCAGCGTAATTGAAGGGGCCCCAGGACACACAAATAAATACACACAAGTAAAATGATTCCCCATATTTTCCCATATTTTCTGGGTTTTTGTCTTCCCCACCACTTCCCATATTTTCCCATATTTTCTGGGGAATTGACGATTAATTGTGTCTGTGTGTTTCTTTTCCTCCTGAGTAATGGCAGACGCGGCCATGCGCCCAGCTTCGTCGACGTGTGAGCAGAACGGCGCTGTGCCAAAAGTAGAAGGCCATACGCAAGACTGTTAGCCCGCTCGAGTCCTACATCGTGCTTCTAGCTGTGTGTGTGTGTTGTGCAGCCTGCGTGAAACAGTCTACTTGGTGCAATCTATGTGGCGCAACGTACGTGTTGGGGGACCTGCGTTGTGAAATCTATGTCTTGCAGTCTACATGATACAATCCAAATTGTGCAATCTACAATATGCAATGTCTGTGGTGCAAGGTGTGTTGTGCAATCTTAGTGGTGCAAGATATGTGGTGCAACATATGCGATGAAATTGACGTGGTGAATCCGATGTAGTGCGCCATCTACGTGTTTTGCGGTGTAGCCGACGTGTTGCAATCTGCGTGGTGCAATCCACGAGGTGCAGTCCACCTCGCCGAACCAGAAGTTGTCAACTCCATCGCTTGCGCAATCATCCGGCCCACCCACCCGCAACTTAATTTACAAAGCCCATGCGGCGGCGATTGCGATGACTGTTTGGCGCTGGCAGGCGCATCGCTGCGACCGCGCTAGCGCGCGCATGCTCGCGCGGAGAGCGGACAGGTAGTCTGGCGCGACCGACGCGTCCGCGGTGGCGCTGACCGCTGGGGACTTCCCAGCGCGTCTGGCAGGCCGCGATGAGTCGCGGGGACTTCAGTGCGAGTCGGTGCCTCGGGCGGGCGCGGTACCATGGCAACGGTCCACTGAGCACGGCACCTGGGCAGCCAGGCATGCTCGCGTCGTGACAAAATCAGGACGGGAGATTCTTGGCAACTTTCGGCCTCTGGGTGGCCCCAAACGGGCCGTGGGACCGTCAAAAAAACATGCCATCTTAAAAACCGACTTCGGAGACCCCTTTCTTGAAAAATCAAGGGCATCGCATGTCAGGGCTCGTTTCTTGCTCCATTCGGCGGCGAGCGAGGGGGTCAAGTGAGAAGGAAAAGGCCTTCTCAGAAGGCGGCGGGTTTCTGAGAAGCCCTCCTGGGTTCTGAAACGTTTGCCGTGTCTTCAGGGAAGGCTCAGAACACTTCTCTGAAGGCCGGGGGACATCCGAGCCTTCTGAGAAGGCCCGCCGCCCCTTCTCACTTTCCCCCCGGGCTCACCGGCGATCCGGAGCTCGACGAGAAGAAGACTGCATAACCATAAACTCTCGGAGCCCCGCAAGGATTTCCTGGATCGGCGCCGCCCCCGGCGCGACCCGCGACGACCCGAGAAGTCCGCGCGGAGCACCGAAAATATATGCTTGTGCAATGCTTTTGTTTCCCAGCCATCCGGCAGTGCGGGGTCCTCGTTTCGAAGGGAGTGCCGCGCGCCAGCTCCCCGCGTCCTCTGAGCCTTCCTGCCTCCTGCCTCTGCCCCGGCACATCACTGCCGCGCGTTTCACTGGCGCTAGGTCGGGCATGTCCCCCTACAGGCGAACTTGGACGAAACACAGAACATTGAACAAATGTTCAAAAACAGTCAAAACCTAATCAAACATTCGTCCCCGCAAAATTCTTTTACTATTCTCGAATGCTTCTCCTGCAGAGGGACATGCCCAACTTAACACTGGCGCCGCCGGCCAGGAGGAGCCCATGGGGGGGGGGCGCGGGGCGGCAGCCTGCAGCTGCCGCGGAAGGCTACCCGGAAGCTGGCGATCGAGGGGGGGCCGACGTTGCTGGGCCAGGACTCGCTGCTCACGGGCCGCAGCATGGCATTCACGAAGTCCTCGCGCCGATGCCGAAAATAGGCCCAAGGAATATTTGATGCAGAAGCAGATTCCCGGATCCCCCCCATCTGTTCTTACATGCTCTGGAGGATCGTCTTCCCCGCCACCTCCCATCCCCTCCACATGTTCCCGGGGATCGACGACGGATTGCATCCGTGTGTGTGTGTGTGTGTGTTTGTGTTTTCCCCTCCTGAGATCGGTGCCCAGACGTGCTCGCGTTTTGCACAGACGTGCCTCGCCGCGCCCCTGGGGGGGCCCTCGCCGACACCCTCGGGGCCCGAAGCCCTCGCGGGGCCCCTGGGGGGCCCTCCCCGCAGCAACTCGGGACGAAGAGCCGGCCCCAGGGGGAGAGGGTCGGGCCTTCCAGGGGCCGCAGATGGCAGAAGTAACAAAAAGAGGAAGGCGCCATAAGCAGAAAGACATAAGAATGACAATATGTCGTAGAAGAAAAAAACAAGCTAAAAGAAGCAGTCATACAGCGAAGAAGAAGAAGAAGAAGCGCCATAAACATCAACTTCTGGCGCTCCGCGAAGATTTCTTGGATCTGCGCTGGACGCCCTCCCTGTCGCGCGGAGCGCGCCAGGGGCGGCGCCGGAGGCGCTGCCGGGGGACCCAGCACGGATCCATGAAATCCGTGCGGAACGCCATATGGCGTTTTCTTTTTTCGAGAAGTAAGGACAACGCGCATGTCGCGGTTCTTCCTTCGACGACCTCGCCTGAGGGCTCGCTCGCTTCGTCAGTATCGGCCCGACTGCCACGGAAGCGCTGCACGGCAATCCCGCTGCGCACGAGCAGGTCCAAGAGGGGGAGGTGTTGGGGCCTTCGCAGACTCCTCGTGCCGACATTTGAGGCCTGCGCCAGAGGCGCAGCAACACTGCAGCATAAGCACGGCTAGACTTTCGGAGGTCCGCGCGGGTGCTTCTTGGATCGGCGCCGGCCTCCCCCGGCGGCGCCTCCGGCGCCGCCCCTGGCGCGCGCAGCGCGGGGGGGCCCCGCGCCGATCCGATGAGTCCGCGCGGGGCTCCAAACGTTTCCGTGGAGAAAAACACACACACAGTCTGTGGGAAAAAACACACAGTGGGAAAAACACACACAGTGTGTGTTCTTTATTATAAGCCCCAAAAAAGTGAGTGGTTTTGTTTTTCTCCCACAGTGTGTGTGTGCTTTTTCCCACGTGTGTGTTGTGTTTTTTTGTGTGCCGTTGCCGTCGGCTCGTGCCGCCAGGTTTTGGGGGGGGGGGGCCCGCTCCCTGCCCAGAGGGCGCGCCGAGGCTGCAGCCGAGGCTGCCCGTCCGAGGCTGCCCGAGAGGCCACAGGAACTACAGGGGCCCTGGGACACACACACACATAAATACACACACAAACACACACACACACACACACACACACATATACACACACACAAATAGCCGGATTCCCCATATTTCCCCCTGCTTTCTGGGTGTTTATCTTCCTTCCCCCCACTTCCCATATTTTCCCATATTTTCCTTGGAATCGACGATTATTTGTGTCTGTGTGTTTTTTCCCCCTCCTGAGGAACGACGCAGCAACCTGACGCGGTGGCGTACGCGGGCAGCCAGCGCGGCGCGCTACACTGGAAGCAGCGGCGCTCACGCGGGCAGCTTGCGCGCGAAATTCGGCGCAGTCGGAGCCGCTTCTCTCCGCCGCTCACATAAATGGACGCCCGGAACGGGTACGAACAAGTGGCACGACGCCCGACAGCGAACGCTGACCAACACGACCCGCGGCCGCTATGGTGCAAGTGACTGTTTGCCTCAGGTGGACAGCGTCCGCGGTGACACCGGCAGCGAGCCCTGCTCGGAATGGACAGGAACTGTTGTCGGTCTTCGTACCCGGCGAAATCAACGAGCTCTCAAGCAATCATTGCGCAGTTGTTTCCGCTTTGCTCGACTCGAGCCTCGGCGGCTTGAGCCAGGCCGCTGAGGCTCGAATCCAGGAACAACTAATTAGACACGTCATTTGGCGGCGAGCGAGGAAAGGAAGTGAGAAGGAGCAGGCCTTCTCAGAGGGCTCGGCAGTCCCCCAGCCTTCTGAAACAAATTCTAAGCCTTCCCTGATGACACAGGAAACTTCTCAGAAGGCCGGTGGACTTCTGAGAAGTCCCGCCGCCTTCTGAGAAGGCCTTCTCCTTCTCCCTTCCCCCCCCCTCGCTCCTTCTCCCTTCCCCCCCCTCGCTCGCCGCCGAGTCATAGAGCCAGGCGGGAAAAAGCTGCGCAATCACACTCTGAGAGCTCTTTGGTTCCACCGTCCGTTCCGTGCCCACTTTCCGATCGTGCAGCAAGAGGGCACTGGACTGCGGCGGCGTATGCGGCCACGCACGGGTGTGCCACGCGGCTCCTGCATGAACGCGCGGCAACTCCACCTGGGAGGACGAGATGGCAGGATACGGCGGGCTCGTGTTGTGATGGTACTGTGGCGCTGGCTTCTGTCGCCGCGTGGATCGTTCAGGCTTGAGCGATCGGCGGCGGTTCGATCCCCAGATCGTTCCACATTGGCCGGCTCTGGGCCATCACCGGCGTTCAGCCTTGAGCGCCCACGCTGGGGTCGCAGCCACGGCGACACGACACGAACCCACCTGCAGGGAATACGTGAGCCTCCCTCCTCCTCCCTCCTCCTCCTTCTCCTCCTCCTCCCTCCTCCTCCTCCTCCTCCTCCCTCCTCCTCCTCCTCCTCCTCCTCCTCCTCCTCCTCCTCCCCCTCATCCTCCTCCTCCCCCTCCTCCTCGCCTCCTCCCTCCTCATCATCATCTTCCACGGCCTCCGTTTCCGCCCACTTCGTCGCCGACGTCGTGGTCCTCTTCAGGGTCGGCGGCACCGGCCGTCAGGCCTTCGCAATCAGTGAACCAAGACGGTGAACGTACCTGGGCATCTGAGGATCTGCCCTGGGAGCGGCTCCCCCTGGAAAGCGAAGACAGGACGGGGCGAATACGGTCCAGAACTCTTGCTGAACGTGTCGCGGCGGCGGCTCTGGCGACACGCCATGCCCTGCGAGCTGACAGCGTGTCGCTCCGCTCCGCGAGGCGGAAGGCTGGGACAGAAATCCCGACCGTAGCTCTCCTGAGTCTGAGTGGTCCTCAGCGGCCGACGCTATTCTGGAGGCGGCCGGGGGTTCTGGACTGGACGGACCTCGAGAGGATGTGCCAAGAAAAAGAGGTACGGGCAGAGCCGCTCAAAGGCGGTCTCCAGACCCTTCCTGGGGCCCACGCGGTGCGGTGCCTCGCCCCCGCTCGCTCTTGGCGGTCTCGGGGCCCGGACACAAAAAACCCGGAGAGCAGAAGAGGCAACAGAGACCCTCTTGGACCCGGAACCTCGGGCCCTCCCCCCCCCCCTCCCTCCTCCTCCTCCTCCTCCTCCTCCTCCTCCTCCTCCTGCTCGCCAGACCCAGTGCTGGGCCACCACAGACCCCCAGCCGACTCCAGACGCTCTTCCCCTCGCGGTGTTCGCCGTGCCCGCCCCGCCTGGGGAGAGCATCCACCACCACGCCTCCACAGGCCCAACCCGGGGCCCAGATCTTGGCTTGCTGGGCTGGGTTGCACGCAAGACCCAACGACCCCCTCGCGTCGTGACAAACAAATCACGACGGGAGGTTCTTCTCGATTTTCGGCCGCCAGGGGCCCCCACCAGGCCTCGGGGCCGTCCAAACACGAGTCAGGATGAGGAACCGGCCCCGGGGAAGGGGTCGAGACTCCTGGGGGTCGACGTCGTGAAAAACCATGACGTCGGGCATCTGGGGAGCGACCCCAGGCAAGAGTGGCCCTTGGTGCGCGACCTTCGGGGGCCGCGGGGAGGCCGAGCCCGCACGCCATGGGCCGCTGCTGTCGGGACCCCGGGCAAGCAGGACTTTTGGTGCGCGACTTCGCGGGGGACGCCGGGTGGCCAAACCTGGGCGCGCAAGCCACTGCAACCGCTTCATGCTCAGCGATCGGGGGGGACCCAACGGGGCCCGCACCGAAGGTCACTCGGGCGAAAGGCCACTCCAACTGTAGGAGCTCGACCACAAGAAGCCTTCCACAAGAGATCTAACCCTGAGACCCAAGGACGTCCATTGTTTCTTGGTGGGAACGACACGCTCTCCACAGTAAAACCATCGAAAGCCAAGAAACCCAGGGCACCCTGGAGCCCTGGAGGCAAGTAGGAGGGTTCTTGGCACGGGCTTCCACGGTACGTGTCGATCATCGCATTCAGCCAGCTGGGGGCCGCATCGCTCCCGCACCAGAGGTCCTGCCGGTGCAAGGTTACTCTCACGCGTAGCCGATGGGCATGGGCCAGTGACGAACTCCGGGCCTGAAGACTCTTCGAGGGTCCGCGCGGACTCCTCGCCTCGGCGCTGGGCCCCCCTCCCGGGAGCCAGACAACGCCATGAGCCCCTCAACGTTTCGAGATTCCGCGCGGACATCTCGGATCGGCGCTGGGGCCCCCTCCAAGGAGTCAGACAACACTATGAGCCTCAACGTTTCGAGGGTCCGCGCGGATGCCTCGGATCGGCGCTGGGCCCCCCTCCGCGGCGCCGCGGAACGCGCAGGTGGGCGGCCAAGGGTTTCCCGGCGCAGATCCAAGACACCCTCGCGGACCGTCCGAAGTGTGCCTGTCTGCGCACCCTTCTTCCCTCCCTCCCCCCCGCCCTCCCTCCCCCTCCCTTCCCCCCTCTCTTCCCCCTCCCCAGTGGCCTAGGGCTCCTTCGCGCTTGTTAAATCAAGTGCCTGTCTGCGCACCCGTTCCTGACTCGATGGGTGCTCTCGGGAGGGCCCAGGGGCACTCAAGCAAGCACACGCGAATCCCTGGACTCTTCCCCCTATACATCTCATATCTTGTGGGTTCTCGTCATCCCTCCCCCGCACTTCCAATACTTTCCCATATTTTTCCTGGGAACCGACGATGCATCGTGTCTGTGTGTTTTTCTCCCCGTCGGAGCTGTCCCCGTCCCGGGTCTGCGGATGCTTGGAGCTGGTGGCAAGATAAATCAGCATCGAATCGGGAAACCGGATCGAATCGGAACGCGCTTCGGATCGGGCTGCATCAGCACTCCGTCGAAATCGA